GAACAGTGAGAGGAGGAAGTCATCATCCCTACAGTTTTACCCGTCACCCCAAGAGACTCCCTCGCCCTTCCATTTCTCAGATACCCTGCCTTTTCTCCCAGGTGATTCCAGACCTTATTTCAGCTCCCTCAAATCTTATCCTATACAACCTAGGGACTCTCCACTTGGGATCAGATTGAACTATGAGGTAATACTGGTCACTCTAACTGGTCTTGAATAAATATTCACTCTGGCTACAAAGGCTTCAGTCACCCTGATTGCAGAGAAAGTGTCAAAAAAAAAATAAATCTAAACTGGGCACTGGTGGCTCACACTTGTAATCCAAGTTACTCAAGAGGCTGAGGTCTGAGAATCCAGGTTCAAAGCCAACCTGAGCAGGAGTGTATGTTCTGCTGTATTTGTCAGGCCCGTGTTCACCCTTGTTTGAGTCTCCTGTATTGAGCTCAGACTGGAAGTGTTATGAAAAGCTAGACAGGCAATGCCCTAGGTAGTTTGGACTAGACTTCATGGAACACTGATGTTGCTAGCCTGCCCCACCTCACCAACCAGAGTCTCCTAAGCCAGGCCAAGCCCTGACCTTAGCTCTCCTCTTTTGCCCCCAGCACATGTGGGATCCAGCTTGAAAAGTAAAAAGGTTTAAAGAGGGTTAGAGGGTCCTAGCATGGGGAAGAAAAGGGACGGCAGAGAGGGAAGGTCTGACCTGACTTCCAGGCTCTACCCAAGAGTGGTGTATCCCTACCACCAGAGCCTGAGCCTCTGCCTCTGCTCCTTCTACTCCAACTCCATCTCTAATGTTGAACTCACTAGTCACTTCAGGCCCCTCTCCATCCCACTACTCTATCCTTAAACCCTTGGAATGGCATCCTCAAACCATCTCCCATTATTTGCAGCTGACTCCCAGAGATCACTAGCTCCCAGACCTGATTCCTGCCAGTCTCTAAGTACCCACTAATACTGCCTTCAAACAGCCTATTGCCAAGCTGGTGCCAGTAGTTCATATCTCTAATCCTAGCTACTCAGGAGGCTGAGATCTGAGGATCATGGGAAGAAAAGTCTGTGATACGCTTATTTCCAATTAATCAGCAAAAAAGCTGGAAGTGGGGGTGTAGCTCAGGTGGTAGAGTACCAGCCTTGAGAAAAAGCAAAAACAAAAACAAGCAAGAGTATGAGGCCCTGAGTTCAAAGCCCAATTTTACAGCATACCTGTGCACACATGCATACACAGACACATACAAATGTTCTTCGTTGAGCAGGGGTGAGATTTGATTTGCCTTAACTTTTGTTACCATAAGTGGACTTCCATAGCTGTTTCTTATTTAGAAAGAATTTAGTCATACAGAGAGCTGAGGATACGTCAAAATATAACCTTTGAGGCAATCAGTCTGTTTCCAGCCTCTTACCCTCTACCCTGAGTGTCTGCACACTCAGAGTAGGGTTCAAGAACTGAGCTTTGGGGTATAAATTCAGGCAATCTCCTAGCCAACTAGAATTTAACATTGTCTGCCCCTCACACATGCACATGCAGTTACATGTACATGCTCACATAATCTGGAAAGTATAATTAATGTAATTATATGTACATTCTACATACATATCAGGCTAGATTATAAGTTCAGTGAAGCAGGAATCACTTCCCCCCATGATTAACCCCAGACCTATACTAGTGTTGATACATAACAAATATTGGTAGAAAAAAATGACACATAATGAAACACAGACATAAACAAATGCATATCTATATACTTATAATACATCCAATGCTTAGGTATGATATATGTGTATGTATATGTATATATATATATATATCTACATGCTACCCACATTAGATAACATATATATATAACATGACATACCTAAATCTATACATAGACTGCATATTAATACATATAAAGAAATACAACCACTACAGACATACTCTAGATATTACTCATTTACAATGCCACAGTTAAAATATATAAACATAACATATAAAACAAACACATGTGCAGGTTTGTATACACTAAGTAATACAAACAGAAGCATTTATTTATTTATTTATTTATGTTGCTGGGGATTGAGCCCAAGAGCACATGAATCCCAAGCAAGCACTCTACCACTTGAGCTACATCCCCCAGGCCTTAAAACACCTTTTTATTATTACCATAATTACTTTGCAGTACCTATGTTTAAACTCAGGGCCTCATGTTTGCTAAGCAGGTGCTCTACTCCTTCAGTCACACCACCAGCCCTTGTTTGCTTTAGTTATTTTTCAGTTAGGGTCTCCCAGTTTTGCCCAGGGAGACTTCAGAAAAGGATCCCCCTACCCGGGCGCCGGTAGCTCACACCTGTAATCCTAGCTACTCAGGAGGCTGATATCTGAGGATCACGGTTCAAAGCCAGCCCGGGCAGGAAAGTCCGTGAGACTCTTATCTCCAATAAACCACCAGAAAACCAGAAGTGGCGCTGTGGCTCAAGCGGTAGAGCGCTCTCCTTGAGCTGAAGAGCGCAGGGACAGCGCCCAAGCCCAGAGTTCAAGCCCCAAAAAAATAATTAAAAAAGAAAAAGAAAAGGATCCCTCTATTATGCCTCCTGATTAGCTGGGATTGCAGCCATGTGAGATGAGGCCTCATTATTTGCCCAGGCTGGACTCAAACCTCAGTCCTTCCAATCTTCTCACAATCTCCACCCGCAGCGTATTGAGACTACACATGTGAGTCCCGGTGCCCAACCTTAAAGTACCTTTGCATACAGATTTTTCCAATCAAGAGAAAATTGTCTGAAGGTTCTTGGCTCAGGCTTGGATACCATTAAACCGCCACTAGGTGGTACCCGTTCCCACCTCCGTACTCCCAAGTGTTGCTAGAGATGGCGCCACCCCCCTAGCCCCCCCCACCCCCCCTCCCCGCTTAAGGCACAAAATTAGTGGAGTCAAGTGTACCCCAGCACTCCCCCCAGCCCCCCACCCTCACTACGAACTTGTCTTCGGTTCTCAAAGTCTCATATCTTGGTCTCCCGGCTGTGGAGTTCGTCCTCCAGACCTCTGATGGCGGGGAGCAGCCCTGGGGCTGTTCTGCCCACTTCTCAAACCAGACCCAAGTTCCCCAGCGAGCCGGAAGCCTGTCTGAGTCCCTCTCTGGACTCAGAGCCTCGCGAAGAGGGACCCTCGGGGCCCCACGACGGCTCCGGGAGTGGTGGATCAGCATTACTGCACACCAGCACCCGCACACCAGCACACCAGCGCCCGCAGCCCCCTTTGGCTTACTCCTCACGCCCTGCCCGCGGGTGGACGAGAGACGACCCCCACCCGCCCCGGCGCGGAGCGGCGGCCCAGCCCGAGCCCAGGCCCTCGGGTGCGCAGGCGCTGCGGGACGGAGCCGGGCGCCCTGACCTCGCGGTCTGCGCGTGCTCGCGATCTTAGGCAAACTGCTTGAAGTCCCTGGGTGCCAGGAGAGGGAAGGACAGACGTCTCCCGCTTCCCCCCACCCCGCCCCGGGCTGCCTCAGTCGTCCCCCAGACCTTCACCCCTGCGGGAGGAGACACCTAGCGGAAAAGCCCGCGCGGGGGGCGAAACTGGATCGGCAACGGCTGGGCCGCCCCGTCCTCCTCCCCGCTTCTCCCCCGGGAGCAGCGGGAAATTATTTATTAAAACGCCGCCCGCGCTCTCATTTATTTGCGGTGAATAATCCTCGGCATCTCAGCGCGTTTATTAAACCTTTCCCGTCCCCGCGCCCGCATTACTTTAATAATAAATCGCGTGTCACTTTCCAGCGACGTTATTAAACCCCCGTCTGCTGCAGCCGAGGCGGGGTGCGGGGAGGGTGGGCGGCGGGAGAACCTCCCATTCCAGGCTTCGGGACCTGAGCCGCCAGGGCCACGGAGCGGGGGAAGGAGGCTGCAAGGAGGCTGTCCCTGAATTACCTGCAATCGCGAGCTAGGAGTTTGGATTCCCCGGGTGGGCAGCTCTGGGGTTGGGTGGAAATTTGGCTAGGAGCCGCGAACCTGCAGGTGGGCAGGTTCCGATTGAAAGGACTTCAGTGGCTGCCTTGGGCAATGATCAAGCGAGGAGCGGGGGTCCCTAGCCCATGTGGGGACCCAGGTCCCCTCTTTATAGAGGAAGCTATTTTGCCAAACTCGCACTGTTCAACTGGGCCTCATTCTCGCCCCCCCCCCCCCACACACACACCCCTCCGTGGCCTTGGAATTCTCTCCAAGTACCCAGCCAGCTTCCATATGGTGTTCAGCTCCTGGGGCCTCTGAGCTCTAGTCAATGAGAACCATCCTCTGGCACTGGGTGAGGCAGTAGCAGATGGACAGATGGGTGGGAGGAGGGTGGGGAGGTGGTGGCCAATTCTTTAGGATGCGGTTGTGGGCCACGCCCCTCCCTAGAGGCTCAGCTCCCGGAGTTGGGCCTCAGAGAACTCTCAGGCAAGGAATCAAAAGCATTCCAACAGTGGCATGAGCTCCCAACTGCATATAGAGCCACTGATGTTTTCAGTCTCTCCTTCCATCATTCCATAACTTCCCCAGTGTCCCTGAACTAGGTTACAGAACCAGAATGTGAGGGAGATTTTAGGACCTAAAAAGAGGGACCGGACCTCCAAGTCAGAACAGGGTACAATTAGGGCAGTTGGAAGCAGGCTTACCTTGCTTTTGAGTTTGGTGAGGAAAATGGAAGGTTTGCATGGGAGGTGGGGAAGATGTCCCGTTTATGCATTCATATTCATAGGGAGTCCCACCCACATTCACCTGGCTCCCTGCTCTGCCTGGAAAGCAAGATGAATAGAGGAACAGGAAATCTATTTCTAATTGTGGGCTGACAGGGACACCCTTTCTCCAACCAGATAGCTCCAGGTTCTCTCCCTAGATGTAGGCAATAGTACAAGCCTCTCACCTGGCAGGAGTGTACTGAGAGGGCAGAACCCGAACCTTCTAGAAGTTAGAATTCAGTTAATATGGGAGGCCTCTCAAGGGAATCCCCACTCTCCCTGTGTACATCTACAAGAACTGTGTAGGTGTGTGGCTTGGTTTGTTTACAAGTCTTTATTGACACCCCATCTTGTGTACAGTGTAAGATATGGAATTGCCCCTGGGACTTGGAAAAGAGGGAAAACTGGAAAATGAGTTCTGAGGAAGGGTAACCTGAGGGAAGGCAAAGATGGAGGAGTAGGAAAATAATAGGAACCAGTGTTGATGGGGAAGGGAAGTTAGGAGAGACTGACTGAGCAGGACTGGAGGGAAGGCTGCTGAGGAGAAGAGGACCCTCTCTGCGGATACTGCAACCTGACTAACCTAGGGGCCAGCTGGTCTGTGTTAAGAATCCTCCTGGCCAGGGCATCTCCTTCATAGACCCTTTTGCATCTCTCCTGTTCTCATCTCTGCTTTCTCTCCCTACTGTCCTCCAACCTGCCTGCCTCTCTCTGTGTCTGTGTCTGGCTCTGTCTCTCTGTGTCTGTCTCTGTCTGTCTGTCTTTCTTTCCACTTGAACTCAGGACCTGGGTACTGTCCCTGAGCTTCTTTTGCTCAAGGCTAGTGCTCTATCACTTGAACCACAGCACCACTTCCAGCTTTTCCTGAGCAATTGTTGGAGCTAAGACTGTCATGGACTTTCCTCTCTGGGCTGGAACTGTGATCCTCAGATCTCAGCCTCCTGAGTAGCTATGATTACAGGTGTGAGCCACCAGCACCTGACTTTTTTTTAAATTAACTTACTTTATTGTTATTATAAAGGTGTAGGTCAGAGGGATTACAATTACAACCTGTCTCTTTCATACTGTCACCACCATGATCATCCTACAAGGAGCATAAACTAATCCATGAAGGGACCTTGTTCACCCTTTCTAGATCTATTCCAGGTCTTCTCAGGAGCAGGGACAGATATTAGGACCATCACCCACCCCACCACCCAGAGCTAGTAGAAATCATAATCATAGCTCTCTTCATTTTCGGCTTCCTCAGGAACCAGGTTCAATGATTTCAGCCGAGAGATTCCTGTGGAGTTCAGTTGGTCTGAAAACACAGGAGGCAAAGAAGAGACTGTGGATGGCCACATATCCCACTCTGGGGGGAGGCTGTGCTTGTGTGTAGGGGCCCACATTCCCATTCCCAGAAGGATTGTTTCTTACACACATTCAAAGGCTCTAATCCTACACATCCTCCCAACCCCCAGATGTCCCCTGTACCTGGTGTGAGTACTATCAGGGAAGCAGGGGCCTCAACCCAGCCCAGGGCATTATGGGCAATACAGCGGTAGGTGCCCTCATCACTGGAACGAACCGCTTGGATCTGCAGCCAACCAGTCACCTCAAACCGCTGAGGTCCACCTCTAAACTAGAACCACATGTCGAGTCAGCAAGGTCATTTTGGGGAGCCCTACACTATCAGGGAGAGCCTGTGTTTCCTGTCCCTACCTGCACAGAGATGTGGGGATCATCCCCTGGCAGCTGGACGTCCCAGCCATCCTTCTTCCACTCGATGGAGGCCATTGGATAGGCGAACACCTCGCAGCCAAAGATCACATCCTGCCCGGTCACATTCCAAATGTCCCGGGGCTGCGACACTATCTTGGGCTCTGGGGGATGGAGGTGAGAATGGGGTGGTACATCCAGTCCAACAAGGACACCCAACGGGAATTGTTGTGGGTATACTTGTGGCAGAAGACAAAATATGCAGAGGTCAGTACATGTCTGTAAATAAAACAGGACGTGTACACAAAGATACATATAAGTGTTGATGCAGGAATACACAAAGGCAGAAATGCTGCTATAGAGATGCAAAGCAATGTGTAAAAACAGAGCGTTTGTGCAAACTGTACAAACACAGAGACCCACACCTTAAACTTGGCAGTGTCACTCTGTCCCCGACTGCTCCGGTGTCCTCATTCCACCCTCCAGTCCCTTTCCTGCTGGGCGGGTAACCAACACCTCCCTCCCCACTTTCCCCTTTTCTAAGCCCGCGACAGTTCCCAAAGGCCGGGAGAGCTGCCCTTCCCCCACTCCAGTCCCCGGGGGAGGAAGGGAGAGATGCGAAGCCTGAGCTGGGGAACGTGAAACCAGACATTAAATGGCAAGCCGGGAGGCCTGGGGGAAATCGCTGGGAACTCCTGCTGGAGCATATGTTTTCACCACAGACCCAGCCAAGCCACATCCAGGGTAGAAACTCAGGAAATGAAAGAAAGCAGCCAAAGAAAACTTCAGACTTGAATTACCCTCAAACCCCCGGGATCAGGAGAGAAGAGAATAGCGCTCCCCCCCTTCATTAAGTCCCTACAGGTAGGGGAAAGGAGAAGCATACAGAATGGGCTCACAGATGCATCGCCCGGGAACCAGCATCTGCCCAGGCTCCCGTGATCTAGGCAAAGTCTGAGGGCTCTTTCCGTCTGAGCCAGTTATTGGCTGTGTGCCTTTCAGAGATGGGTGGGTGTCTGCTAGTCCGGGACCTGCATCTTTAGCTGGAGCCTTTGAGGATCAGGAGTGAGAGCATCAATGCTGCCTGAGGATGGAGAGCTGTGCCTCCAGAACGCCAAAACTTGGGGTTCGGGGGGGGGGGGGACGGCGAGGGCATAAAGGCCCCGGGTGCTGCGTACCCGATTCGCAGGGGCCTGGGTGTGCCACCGTGAGGTTGGCGTCGGGCCTCGCGCGGGCCGCCTCCTGCAGGCGGCAGATCTGAGCGTAGGTCCGGCCGTCGGAACCGCAGAGCGGACTCTGCGAGCGACAGGCGCACCACGGCTCGGGCACCTCTCCACGGTGCAGGTCGTCGCCTGCATCCATCCGGCACTCGAGCTGCTCGCCGCAGCGCCCGTAGAAACGCGTGCTGGGGTCCAAGTCGCAGAGCTGGCCCTCCAGGTTGGCGCATTCCCAACAGCAGTCGCACGCGTCGCGCACCTGACCCGCCAGGCAACCCCGGGGTGCCGCGCACAATTCTGGCCGGCAGGGACCGCAGTCCTCGCCCTCGGTTAGCAGCCTCAACCAGCCCCGCCGCAGGTAACCGGGGCCTGCCGACGGCCTGGCGCTGGTTGGGGGCAGTAGCAGTAGCAGTAGCAGGGGCAGCGCCCAAGCAGCTGTAGCATGGTTAGCTGGGAGCCCTGGGTGCACTCGGGACATCGGCGCGTTGGTGGCACCCTGCCAGGGAAAAAAGCCAGACCAAGAGGTCAGAAAGCCGAAGCCGACGCTGACAACGAGAGCTTGAGCCCTGGCACAGTGCCAACCCCTGCTACCTGAGAATCAAGTTGTCCCCTCCCCTCTGCAGAGGCCCTGCGATCCCCTAGGGGTTCCAGCTGTGTCGGTGGACAAGTGACTGAGCTGTTGTTACTGGAGGATAAACACAACGTCAGAAACCACCCAACGCCGATGCTCCATCGCCCCAGAGATGAATGGACATCAATGGCTTTAGGAGAAACTGTTGAAAGGGATAGGAGAGCACCGGGCAGAGATGCTGCTTGTTTACGGCTTGGGGTCCTGGGACTCACCTGGTGTCCCGCACTAGGCCCCACGACGCAGCTGTGTTGCAACTCCAAAGCAAGCAGAGGCTCACGCACAGTCAGCTGGACCCGCTGGCCACCACTGCTCCTGCGGGAGGATCTCCGCCTAGGATTCGGAGTAGCTCCTCCGCCCTCTCTCCGCCCCTCGACGTCGCCTGCCCGCCTTCCCTCGGTTCAGAGGCGGCCCATTTTCTGCAGCCCCCCCCCCCCCCGGGGACCATCTCGGGCCAGTTCCATCTAGCCTGCCCCGCAGTCACAGTGAGAATGCAGGAGGAGAGTCACCGGACACCGACGCTGGGAAAGAGGGGTGCGGGGACTGGAGACCCGGATTGGGGGTGGAGAGATGTCTGGGAAGCCCAAAGGGTTGTCTGTGCCCTTCCCAGCTCCGGAGGAAGGCTATAGCTTCTGCGTTACACTGTGGTGTCATTTTACACGTGCGTCCCGGAGCTTCGGGAGGGTCGGGTCCACGAACACCGGCTCCCCGCACCCCAGGGCTGGCTTCCCAGGGCCGGTGGCAGCCTGGCCCACGTAGTTTCTCCACCCAGGCGCGGACCAGTCTCGGCATTTACATCCATCTGCTTATCCACATCTAGCCTCCTCCCTCCCCACAGCCTGCAGGTGCTTCAACTCGCGGAGGAGCCCAGTGTTTAGAGGTCGGAACCGAACCAGCCACCGCAGGGAGGGGTGGGCGGGGCGCTTCCCCGACGAGCGTCGCTCCGGGTCCTGATTAGAGGCCACGGTGTCCGGGCTGGTAGAACCAGAGGCATTCGGTCTCAAAGCGGCCACCAGCGCCACCGTGGCACTTTGGGCTGGGGGCGGGAGAGGAGCAACCCTGGAAGCCCGCCAGCCCAACTCGTCCCGGCCAGGCCCCGCCCCATCCTGTCCCAAGCCGTTTATAGAAGCGGCTCCGCAATCACATCTGTAGGAGTGGAACCGCGGTTTGCAGTGGCGGTATTTAGTCTAGCTCCGCCCGGGACGGGGACTGGGGGCGGGGGGGGGGGGGAGGGTGCGGGGGGCGCGGAGACGCAGATTGCGCATGCGCGTCTGGTACCGGGCGCAGGCTCTGAGAGTCTGCCCGGGATGCTGCCCTCTAAAAACTCATCTGAGGCCTGCCAAGCCCGGGTCCTCCTAACACAGAAGCCACTCGGCCTGAGGGGTCCTGACGAAGTGGGCGGGCAGGACGTGGCTATCCTGCTTTCAGACTGGGACCGAAGGAACTTCGCGCGAGGATTCGCAACTGTCGCGAGAATCCGGAGAACCGTAGGCCTTCGGAACAGGAAAAGCCCGCGGGGTTTTAAACCGGAAAGGAACGGGCGGAGCCAGCTGTCACCGAATGTGGAAGTCGATCTCCAGTCCTTGCCCCGGCCGTGACGGGAATGTAGATGCGGGGGGCGGGGGGGGGGGGGGAGGGTGAAGTCCCCAGAACTGCAGGAAACCCTTTAGAAAAAGGCAGGAAACGGGGTCTGGCAGAGCCCACCGATGCAACCAGCCGCAGGGAGGTCCCGGGCTCCGAAGAAACATCTTTGGAAGTGAGATCGTCGTCCAGGATACGGAGTCGTAGCAGCCCCAGGTCTCTTCGTGGATTGCTACGCGCTTTCTGAGACTCTGAGCCGGTATAAAATAACCTGCCACCTAGATCTAGAACGCTTACGTTCAGTCTTTGCTAGGCTAAAACCATGTCCTAACGCACCACTGTGCTTGGTGAATGTACTGGCCGCGCAGCAGATTCCTGACAAATATTTGTGTTTTTAAATGTGCTCAAGTTTAACCTGGCCTTTCGCGGT